TTCTTGTCTTCTGCTGGGTTTTGAGTTTTTTTGATCTTGCTCCTCTAGGTCTTTCAATTTTGACGATACGGTGTCAATTTTGGATCTCTCCATTCTCCTCATATGGGCACTTATTGCTATATACTTTCCTCTAGAGACTGCTTTAAATGTGTCCCAGAGGTTCTGGCACGTTGTGTCTTCGTTCTCATTGGTTTCGAAGAACTTCTTTATTTCTGCCTTCATTTCGTTGTTTACCCAGTCAACATTCAAGAGCCAGTTGTTCAGTTTCCATGAAGCTGTGCGGTTCTGGGTCGGTTTCTGAATTCTGAGTTCTAACTTGATTGCACTATGGTCTGAGAGGCTGTTTGTTATGATTTCAGTTGTTTTGCATTTGTTGAGCAGTGCTTTACTTCCAATTATGTGGTCAATTTTAGAGTAGGTGTGATGTGGTGCTGAGAAGAATGTGTATTCTGTGGATTTGGGGTGGAGAGTTCTGTAAATGTCCACCAGGTTTGCTTGCTCCAGGTCTGAGTTCAAGCCCTGGATATCCTTGTTGATTTTCTGTCTGGTTGATCTGTCTAGTATTGACAGTGGAGTGTTAAAGTCTCCCACTATTATTGTGTGGGAGTCTAAGTCCTTTTGTAAGTCATTAAGAACTTGCCTTATGTATCTGGGTGCTCCTGTGTTGGGTCCATATATGTTTAGGATCGTTAGCTCTTCTTGTTGTATCGATCCTTTTACCATTATGTAATGGCCTTCTTTGTCTCTTTTGATCTTTGTTGCTTTAAAGTCTATTTTATCAGAGATGAGAATTGCAACTCCTGCTTTTTTTTGCTTTCCATTAGCTTGGTAAATCTTCCTCCATCCCTTTATTTTGAGCCTTTGTGTATCCTTGCATGTGAGATGGGTTTCCTGGATACAGCACACTGATGGGTTTTGGATTTTTATCCAATTTGCCAGTCTGTGTCTTTTGATTGGTGCATTTAGGCCATTTACATTTAGGGTTAATATTGTTATGTGTGAATTTGATACTGCCATTTTGATGCTAAGTGGCTGTTTTGCCTGTTAGTTGTTGTAGATTCTTCATTATGTTGAAGCTCTTTAGCATTCAGTGTGATTTTGGAATGGCTGGTACTGATTGATCCTTTCTATGTGTAGTGTCTCTTTTAGGAGCTCTTGTAAAGCAGGCCTGGTGGTGACAAAATCTCTGAGTACTTGCTTGTTCACAAAGGATTTTATTCTTCCTTCACTTCTGAAGCTCAGTTTGGCTGGATATGAAATTCTGGGTTGAAAGTTCTTTTCTTTAAGAATGTTGAATATTGGCCCCCACTCTCTTCTGGCTTGTAGTGTTTCTGCCGAGAGATCTGCTGTGAGTCTGATGGGCTTCCCTTTGTGGGTGACCCGACCTTTCTCTCTGGCTGCCCTTAGTATTCTCTCCTTTATTTCAACCCTGTTGAATCTGACGATTATGTGCCTTGGGGTTGCTCTTCTTGCGGAATATCTTTGTGGTGTTCTCTGTATTTCCTGCAATTGAGTGTTGGCTTGTCTTGCTAGGTGGGGGAAATTTTCCTGGATGATGTCCTGAAGAGTATTTTCCAGCTTGGATTCATTCTCTTCGTCCCCTTCTGGTACACCTATCAAACGTAGGTTAGGTCTTTTCACATAGTCCCACATTTCTTGGAGACTTTGTTCATTCCTTTTTGCGCTTTTTTCTCTGATCTTGGTTTCTCGTTTTATTTCATTGAGTTGGTCTTCGATTTCAGATATTCTTTCTTCTGCTTGGTCAATTCGGCTATTGAAACTTGTGTTTGCTTCGCGAAGTTCTCGTATTGTGTTTTTCAGCTCCTTTAATTCATTCATATTCCTCTCTAAGGTATCCATTCTTGTTATCATTTCCTCGATTCTTTTTTCAAATCTTTTTTCAAGGTTCTTAGTTTCTTTGCATTGATTTAATACATGATCTTTTAGCTCACAAAAGTTTCTCATTATCCATTTTCTGAAGTCTAATTCCGTCATTTCGTCACAGTCATTCTCCGTCCAGCTTTGCTCCCTTGCTGGTGAGGAGTTTTGGTCCTTTCTAGGAGGCGAGGTGTTCTGGTTTTGGGTGTTTTCCTCCTTTTTGCGCTGGTTTCTTCCCATCTTTGTGGATTTGTCCGCTGGTCGTCTGCGTAGTTGCTGACTTTTCGTTTGGGTCTCTGAGTGGACACCCAGAATGTTGATGATGAAGTATTTCTGTTGCTTGGTTTTCCTTCTACCAGTCTAGCCCCTTCGCTGTACGACTGCTGAGGTCCGCTCCAGACCCTGCTTGTCTGGGGTGCACCTCTAGTAGCCGTGGCACAGCGAGGGATGCTACCAGTTTCTTTTTCTGCTCTCTTTGTCCCAGGATGATGCCTGCCTAATGTCAGTCTTTTCGATATAGAGGGGTCAGGGAGCTGCTTGAGGAGACAGTTTGTACTTTATAGGGGTTTAATTGCTGAGCTGTGTACTCTGTTGTTCATTCAGGGCTGTTATGCTGCTATGTTTGATTCTGCTGCAACACAGCTCATTAAACACCCTTTTTTTTTTTTTCTCAAATGCTCTTTGTTGAGGGGTTTGGGCTTTATTTTTGGATGTCCGATCAGGTATCCTGCCCAGCTAGAAGGCAGACTAGCCACTGTTTGGCTGCCGAGGCTCCGCCCTGCTATTGTGTGATCCGCGCTGTTCCTGCCGGCTCTGCTGTGGTCTCCGCCACGTCCTGCGGCGGAGTCTCTTCGTTGTAGCGTGTTGCCTCAGCAACGGCAGGCTGCGTCAGCAGTGGGCGTGTATCTCAGTAGGGACAGGTTGCCTCGGCAACGGCTGGCTGCGTCAGCAGTGGGCGTGTATCTCAGTTGGGGCAGGTTGCCTCGGCAACGGCTGGCTGCGTCAGCAGTGGGCGTGTATCTCAGTTGGGGCGGGTTGCCTCGGTAGTGGTGGACGCCCCTCCCCCACAGAGCATCTCGGACCGTCTGCTCGGGATAGTTTGAAATCGCGGTTTTGTTTGTCCCACTGGGTATCCCAATCCCTGCAATCCCCTGGGCTGGCCTATTGTCCAAGTCTCGTTCAGTCTCAAGTCCAGCCCTCTCAAGTCTCAGGTTGCCGGTTCAACAGGGCACCCAGACAAGTGCGCCCTGCGGGGATTGCTGGGTAGGGCCGGCTGCCACCACCCCGGCTGCCGGCTTCGCCAGGCAGACCTACTGCCTGGCGTCCCGTGTCTTTTTTATACTTGGGAGTTTCCCCGTTCTGTGGGCAACAAAGATCAGTCTGTAAATCCGCTCTGACTCACCGTTTGCAGATTCAACGAGAAGAGCTCCAATCCTGGGTTGTTCTGACAGCGCCATCTTGAGTCCTCCCCCCCACATTAAGTTTTTAAGAGACATGTCTTTGGAGAGAGTAATGTTTGTGCGTTTATGAGCTAAAGATGTCGGTGTTAAAATATGCCCATATTTGTTCATACAGTTACCAGATTTGAACAGGTTAAAAAATAATAATAAATAAATAAATTTGACCAAGTTAGCCAGACCTTATTAAATAAATGGTTTAAATGATTTTATTTTTCTATCAGATTTGTTTTATTTTCTTTATTATTGAATTGGCTAAAAATTTATTTTTATAGCACTTGTCTCTCTCTCTCTCTCTCTCTCTCTCTCTCTCTCTCTCTCTGTGTGTGTGTGTGTATTTACTTACTTTTTGGGACTCTGATAAAATACATTTGAACTTTTTTTAAAGTTCATTGATTTGCTTCCCATTTCTGCTCCCAGTGCCAGGACCTTCCTGTTTTTGGCTCTATGTCTTGCTCTGGAGAGAAGGCCTCCAAAAGGCTTACTATCCATTCCATCCACCCAGAAATCCCTATCAAAAATAGACCAAATGACACAGACTTTTCATTATACTCAGAGAATGAAAACTCCCAGAGGAGTTAGGATGATTCCTTGACCTCAAAAGGAACACACTTCGAGTTGTAGAGAGTTCAGAGCCAACCAGTTAGATTTTGCGTTTGAGCATAGAGAGTTGGCTACATGCTTTCAGACACTGATACAGATACTGCTTTTCTGACCTGGTGACCCAGAGCCCTCTCTTTCTCTGGTGGCTTGGTTATGGCTGCCTGTCCTGTATTTCACTCAGTCCTTGTGTGGACTGGACCTCATACCAGTCACTTCCCAATTTGTGATTTGCCTTACTTGAATGCCTAATGTAGCTGCTGCCAGCCCCATTTCTGCATCCCGTTTCTCATTCTTGACCTGATGTATTTGGCCTTGTCCTACCTCTGCTGCCGTCCCTTTTCTGTTTCTCTGACTCTAACGCTTGACCTGTACTTAACGCCTGTGAAGTCCCTGCCACCTCACTCCACCTTCCCCTTTAGCTAATTAGGATCTTAAAGAGGGTGGGTGCCTTGGCATTTCCTCATGTTGGGACGCTTGAGACTTGGTGAGTCCCTGGGGCTTGGTAACTTTTCACTAAGACACTGCTATGAGTCTCCATCAACTTGGTGCTGCCTCGCATATTCACAGATCATCAGCCTTTCTTCCCCTCATCTCAACCTCTGCTAAATCTATATTGTTTAGATTTTATATTCATTCAAAAGAATATTTATAAAATGCTGAGTAAGTTATAATGGATAGAAATAAAGCAAACATCATTTGCCACCACTCAAGAATTAAGATGTTGTCATTTTTAAGTTATAAAGTATTTTAAGATATAAGGTGTTGGATGGCACTTTATAATCCCTGCAGTAAACTAATAATCAGTATTACTGAATACTCAAGGTCTCAAACATTGTCTTTAGCTACATATTTTTTTTTTTCAGAACATTTAATACATTCAAATGGGTCACTAGTGAGGTTTTAATGTAGATTCTAGTGTTCCTCTTTATCTGTCAAACTTTTAGAATTCACTTGAGTTACCATGTCCAGTGTGTCAGCATTATGGAATTCTGGCAAGCTTAGCCTTGGAGTGAAGGAGAGAACTTTCTGAAGGCCATAGCTACCATGTTGCTTTTCCCCTAGAATGACTGCTGATGGAACACCAGAATTGAAGATAGATGGCATGAATTCAAAGGCCAAGCTGCATGCTGCACTTTACGAGAGGAAGCTCCTGTCTCTGGAGGTGCGAAAACGTAGACGACGGAGTAGCAGATTGAGGGCAATGAGGCCAAAATACCCAGGTACCTGCTGGTGAGCGTTCACCAAACTCCCTTATCTGGATCCTTCCAGACTGAGTTAACCAGCTGCTTACTCAGTATTTCATGAGTCAGAATCCTGGTCACATATACTTTTTTTTTTTTTCGTATAGTTGTTTTTCTCTGAAATTTAATTTCAACAAGGTCCTAAGTTTTTAAACCTTCCACTCTATAATATTTGTATTGAAGACTATCTGGGGCACATACATTTTGACCTTTGCTCTTATGTCAGCATCATGCAAATACCTGATTCTCTAGAAATAATATTAGCCTGAGTTTAATGGAATCCTTAGCATTACTATTCAGGTTTTTTGTAATTAGGTACATTCAGTTCATTCTTTAACACTGCTGAATGGCCTAAGTGTTTTAGACAAAGTAGAATTTCTTTCTCTCCCAGCTTCTACAATGTTGTAGGTCTATTTGTAATTGACTGATAAACTGATTTCCTTTTTTTCTCTCCTTCCTTCCTTTGTTGAACATCTGTATCAGGCAGCATGTTAGTCACTGAGGTTTCGCTTGCAAATAAAAAAGATACAGTCTCTGTCCTCGTAGAACTTACAAGGCAGTAGAGAAGGATAATGAATAAGCATAAGATAGATATTTCCCTGTTCTTTATACCTCCATGAAGAGTACTTTTTAAAAAATCTCTTAACACACTGTAGAAAAGACTAACCCAAGGGTTTTTTGTGTTTTGATTTTTTTTTTTTTTTTGCCTTGTGAGAGAGCCATGAAGAGAGTATGATGAAAAATATCAAATTTAATGAAGATCACTAATAGGTTTTAGAATATGTAAGATTAGACCAGGCATGGTGGCTCATGCCTGTAACACCAGCACTTTAGGAGGCTGAGGTGGGTGGATTACTTGAGCCCAGGAGTTTGAGACCAGCCTAGGCAATCTCACAAAATCTTGTCTCTACAAAAAATACAAAAATTAGCTGGGTATGTAGCATGTGCCTATAGTCCCAGCTACTTGGAAGGCTAAGGTGGGAGGATTACTTGAGCCCAGGAAGTTGAGCTATAGTGAGCTGGGATCCTGCCACTGCACTCTAGCCTGGGCAACAGAGTGAGACCCTGTCTCAAAAATGATAATAAATATAAATAAATAAAAGAATATATAAGAATAGAGAGTGACATGTGGTTGTTATTAATTCTGTGCCTTGTTTATGGTTTGGTTTAGAAATGGGTTTTTACTAAAAAGAGAAAAGGAAGGTATTGGGAGAGAGGAAAATTTAATCCTTTTTTCAGCAACATTAGTGATTCTTCGCATTTAGTGATTACCCAACCAGCTGAAATGAATGTTAAAACTGAGACAGAGAGTGAAGAGGAGGAAGAAGTCGCATTAGACAATGAAGATGAAGAACAAGAAGCTTCCCAGGAGGAGTCTGCAGGGTCTCTTAGAGAAAATCAGGCCAAATATACACCCTCATTGACAGCTATGGCAGAAAATACACCCAAAGAAAATTCCATGGAAGTTCCTGAATGGAATAATAAAGGTGAACAGTGCTGCAAAATTGAGGCTCAGGAGCCAGAGCCTAAATTTAACCTGATACGGATTCTTCAAGATAATGGTAATCTTAGGTATGTATCTTTTATATTAGTAAAACTGATAACAGCTAACATGTACTGTGTACCAGGTACTATTTTAGTGGCTTTACAGTCATTTTTCATTTAATATTTACAGGAGTCCTGTGAAATAATGACTGTGATTAGACATTGCTATTGTTAAGAAAACTGAGCCTTAGGTTAGGTAACTTGTCCAAGGTAAAGCTGTGATACAAACTCGGTTCTCATTGGTTGGGCATTTGTGTCAGTCACTGAGTATAAGGTAACTGAGACAAGGAGCTGAAGCAGCTCATGGTTTAGTATCAGAGAGAGAATGCTTAGGCCATGGTCCCAGTACAAACATGTGGTTTTAGGACACAGAAAAAGAGTGATTGGTCTGGCTTGGGAGGGCTAGGAAAGCATTATGGAGGAGGGAAAATTTGAATCAGGCCTTGACTGATAAGTAGGGTTTCAGGAAGTGTGGGAGGTGATGGTTAAGTGTGGGAGTGCGAGGTAGAGGCAGTGAAGACATAGAGGTATGATAGTACAGCCATTTATTCAGTCACTCAGTGAGTTTTTATTGAGCACCTGTACTATGCCAGGAATTGTGCTACGCCATATCCCATTACTATGGGGACCAAGACAGGCCTGGAGCTTACAGTCTAGTGGGGAAGAAACAAGGTCATTTCAGGCCATGAGAAATGCTGTCAGTTACATAGTGTAATGTTAGAATGTAATTGGGCAGAGAGTTTAAACTTAAATTGCAATGATTTGGCATGAAGAGGTAACCTTTGAGGTGAGTACTGAATGATGAGTAGTCAGTCGTGTGAGTATTAGGAGGCAGAATACTCCCAGCAGAACAGCAAGTACAAAGACCCAGACATTGTAATGAGCTTGGTGTGTTTACAAAATACACACTAGCAGAACTACATGGGGAGAAGAACATGGTAAGAAATGAGACTAAAGTATTGGATGTTGTTAGATTGTAAAAGGTCTGGGCTTTATTTTCTAGGTTACTTTTAAGCAGATAAATGATACTGTGAGACCTTGTTTTAGAATGCAGATTGTGCTTGCATTGGGGGATAGTGTAACTGAAGGCAGCGGGGTGAGTTAGGGACTGGTAGAATTGTCCAGAGCCAGGAAGGTGAAGGCCTTGATCAGAGTAATGGCTTTAGGAATAGAGAATGGGATGGACTTAGTGAAATTTGCAGAGTAAGATTGATGAGACTAAGCTTTTCACATTTGGAAACTTGGTGGTGCCTTTGGTCAATGTAAGGAACGTAGGAGTTGGTTTCATGATCAAAAATAATGTGTTTCCTTTAAGACGTAGTGAGGAAGAAGGGCTCTGGCTGAAGTCCAGTAGACGGTGAAAATACAGCTTTGTTGGTCCAGGTTGAACAGGACGGTATAGTTGATAGAGAAAGTCTTCAGAATGGATAAGATTGTTCAAATGTATTTGGTTCAGCAAGGATAAAAAAGAAATTGAGCCCTGGGGAATACCACTATTCAATGGATAGGTCAGTAAAAAGATCAAGAAGTGGCAGTTAGAGCAATAGACATACAATTGGGAAGGAGTAGTATGGAAAAAGCTACAGAATGAGCATTCGGGTCTATAGAGCCTCGATCAGCCCAAGTTAGGATGAATGATGAACAGAGACTTCAGGATTTGTGACCTGAGTAGGTGGAAGAGCAGTTGTGAGCTGAGAAAATAAGAAAGCGTGAACTAACTTTCTAAGCGTTTGGCAATGAAAGGAAAGTGAGAATGCATCAGGGAAGACAGCCAACTAAAAGAAAGGGATTTTTTTTTTTTCTTTTGAGATGGGGTTCTGGGGCTTATTTATAGACTGAGGGGAAGGATTAGATAATAAGAGGATTAGAATTGCAGAAATGGATATATTCGTAGAGAAGCATTCTAAAGGAAGGTGGGCAAAGGCCAGAGGAGGGATATCTCTTCCTATAAGTCAGAAAGAAAGTGCAATGGGTTGAATGCAGTTGGTAGAAGCTTAAGAGCGAGGAAGTTTAGGCGTTTATGCATGATAGCCTTTATATTCTATATTAGAGGCCAATTCTTATACTGAAAGTCTGGAGGGTGACCTTGGGGTACCAGGGGATAGAGTTAAGTTTGGAACAGTGTCATGGAGAATAAGAATAGTTCTGGCTGGTCTCAGTGGCTCACATCTGTAATACCAGCACTTTGGAAGGTCGAGGCGGGTGGATCACTAGATCGGGAGATTGAGACCAGCCTGGCTAACACGGTAAAACCCTGTGTCTACTAAAAACACAAAAAATTAGCCAGGCATGGTGGCACGTGCCTGTAGTCCCAGCTATTTGGGAGGCTGAGGCAGGAAGATTGCTTGAACCTGGGATGTGAAGGTTGCAATGAGCCGAGATGGCGCCATTTCACTCCAGCCTGGCCATCTCAACAACAACAAAACAATAGGTCTGTCAGTGGAGAATACACCAAACTGAGTCAGAAAATCTGGGTTCTGGCTGTTTCAGTGCTACCAGCTGGCTATGTCATAGGCAAGTCAAAGAGCTTCTCTAGGGCTCAGTTTCCTTTTTCTGTCAATCCAAGGTATAGAGTTAGACAAGTGTTTTTTCAGACTGCTTCCTAGAGGGAAAAAAGATTTCACTGAATTGAAAACAGAGCATTTGAAAACCACTGGACTGTATTCTAAAGTCCTTTCCAGCAATAACATTCTGCTTGGTTGTTACAGAAATAAATTATTTCTTCACAAATCTTGCAGATCTCACTTTGAATTAGTAAACTGTTATAATTGCAGGGTATGTTAGTGTCAATCAGTGGTTTTCAGACTGTGTTCCCTAAAACTGCTCATTGATTGGTGAAGTGTCTCAGAGGCTACTTAGGGGTTTGGGGAAGGGCAGCCAGGGTTCAAAACTCTAAGCATGGCCTCATTGTTGTATACTTTATATACTGGGCATCTGCATAACCTTTTGTTTTTAAAAATAGGTTTCTTTGGTGTAAATCATTCTGGTTTTTATGCTTTAATCTTTTGGGGGGGGTTGTTTTGTTGCAAGTGACTAGCTGAACAATGTGTTCAATATCTTAGAAACAGTCTCAGAATTAACATTTGTGAGGTTTACAGAAATGGAAACCTCAGTACTTGTTCATTTGCTTTGCAACAATGATTCACTACAAAACAATGACTGATGTCTCAATTTGTGAGCAATAATCCCCTTATTTAAAACACCTTCAAGTTTTAGTATAAAGGGATCAATCAGTGGAATTGGCTATTCTGCTACCTTTGGAGGTGTCTGAAACATGCTAGTTCTTGCTCATTTTATTGTAGGTGAATTTGTTGACCCAAACTGAGGATCTTTTAAAGTTATTTTGACTTGAAAATAATTTGTTGTGGGGGCAAAGCTTGTAGGGTTGGTTCATGGGAAAGTGGTATATGCTCTCTAGGTGAAAAAGAATATAATTGTTGTCTTTGAGGAACAGTTGAAAATGTACATTTATGGCCAGGTGTAATGGCTCACACCTGTAATCCCAGCACTTTGGGAGGCTGAGGTGGGTGGATCACCTGAGGTTAGGAATTTGAGACCAGCCTGATCAACATGGTGAAACTCCATCTCTACTAAAATACAAAAATTAGCCGGGCATGGTGGTGAGCACCTGTAATCTCAGCTACTTGGGAGGCTGAAGCAGGAGAATCGCTTGAACATGAGAGGCAGAAGTTGCAGTGAACCGAGATCGCGCCACTGCACTCCAACCTGGGTGACAAGAGAGAAACTCTGTCTTGAAATAAATAAATAAATAAATTTACTATTTCAAAACCATATTATGCTCCCATAAACCATCCCTGCTAGTAACAAAAATCTAGCCTTATTTATAGTTCATGTTCTGAAGCTCTTATGTATTAAGTTCTCAAAAGGAAATCTCCTCCCCAGCCTGATTCCTTTGCCCTCCAATTCTCCAACATACACATGGAAGCTAGGCTGGAGCCCTCTTAGGATTTCTAGTTTACTCTAGCCAAATTCTACATCCTAACCTTGAAAACAGTCAGTAGAAAGCATTCAGTGATTGCATGTGTGAGGATTGTAAACAAAGTTTGTGTTGGGCCCTAATCTTCACTGATATAATTTTGGCTACAGTGTCAGAAGGCCGATCAGCTGAAGTAATCAAAATCTCGCCTGAAAGAAAACAGATCTGCCACGAATAGCAGCTGAGGTGAAAATCATCAGTGTCTCTCTGGTACTTCTGTCTTCCAAACTATAGCTTAATCAGATTTCCTTGTTGCCAGCCTAAGCCACCAGGCAGAAAATAGCTAGGTGTTGCTTAGGTGCTTTTCACTAGACTTGAGGGTTTCTTTTGCCCACTGAACATCTGGGCTTGTCTTCCCTGCCCCATCAGTTCACCTCTGCCAAACTCCATTGGATCTCACGCATTTGTTCTGGGCTCCAGCCATTCCATCTTGTAGTTGAGAAAAGTGTGGCCTTAAATTTGGTCTAAGAGTCCTGTTATAGGATTTATATATGTCCTGCTTTGGATACTTTTTTTACTAGAAATATTAATTGCCATTGCAAAATCCACACTTTTGCACTAACTGATATGTTCTTAAGGACCTCCAAATGTAAAAAGCATTTTCCCATTAATACAGTCGTTCTTGTGAAGATTCAGTACTTCTCCTGTCTGTTACCCCAAGAAAATTGTTAAAAAGTTCAAAGAGGGCCAGGCACAGTGGCTCAGGCCTGTAATCCCAGCACTTTGAGAGGCCAAGACGGGCAGATCACTTGAGGCCAGGAGTTTGAGACCAGCTTGTCCAACATGGTGAAACCCCATCTCTATTAAAAATACAAAAATTAGCTGAGTGTGGTGGTGCACGCCTATAATTCCAGCTACTCAGGTGGCTGAGGCACAAGAATTGCTTGAATCCAGGAGATGGAGGTTGCAATGAGCCAAGATTGCACCACTACACTGCAGCCTGGGTGATGGAATGAGACACTGTCTCAAAAAAAAAATAAATCTTCAAAGAGAAGGTGTTGAGTAAGAAATTTAATTTTCTATTCTTGTTTTTTTCTCATGTTAATAATGAGAAAATGGGATTCTCCATCTCTGATTATTTTAATAGGACTTTTTTTATTAAAAAAAACCCCTCATATACTGTTTAGAAGGAATCATTATTCACAGACTGTAAGATGGGTTTTATATTTCTTAGCCATCAAAATAGAAGGATTCTCAAAGCCACTTTGAGAGAAGCAAGTACACATTTTGTAGGTTTACACTTCTGTCTCATAACGGTATGTTGTTTTGGATTTCTATAGCAAAGTGCAGGCCCGATTAGCATTCTCTGCCTATCTCCAGCATGTTCAAATTCGCCTGATGAAAGGCAGTGGAGGTCAGACGTTCAGTGCCAGTTGGGCTGCCAAAGAGGATGAACAGATGGTGAGGCTCTTATTGGAACCTTTTTACTTTTCCTTTTTCTTTTTTCATTCTGTGGTTTTTCTTTTTCTATTAGGGTAAAGTGCAATGTATTTTTCTGGTGAAAGAATTAGTACATAAGAAAGTTTTTAGATTTCTTATACTTTAATGTGAAGCAAATCTTTGATCTGGAACTATGTTCGTTATACCATGTAGTGAAGGCATCAATGTATTTAAGTTTGCAATGGAAACTGGTTTCTTGTTGGGTGCAAAGCCCTGTGCAAAGAGTAACAATTTACAGTCCTTTCTCAAGCCACCTCACATGTTATTAACTCTTTCAGGTAGGCATTATCATCCCTATTTCACAGAAGAACACACAAAGACCTAGAGAAGCCAAGGTTTCACAGGTTGTATGTGATGAAACTGGAACTTAAACTCAGATATTTTAATTCTACATTACTTGCTCTTCCACTGGGTTCGTGCATCGTAAGGCATTTATTTTCTGTCCTGAGTAGTCAAATTAGTTCTTCGAAAGTCATCACCTTATCCTAGGCCCTGTCAGAACACACCATCCTCCAAGTTGATATTTTTTATTTAACTAGTTGTAAGTTTGTAAGATTCTTAGATTGCTGGAATAAAACTTGTATTTAATTTTTACTGTATATCAGTCATTTGGACATTCCTGTGATTCAATATTGTAGGACAGTTTTTTGTGTGTGTAAATCAGAATGACGGGAGCTTTAAACTGTTTGGCAAGGTCAGAGCTTATAGAAGAAGCCACAGCCCTTCCATATTCTTTTGTGTGTGTGTGTGTGTGTGTGTGTGTGTGTGTGTGTGTAATGGAGTTTCATCTTACTGCTGAGGCTGGAGTGCAATGGCGCCATCTCGGTTCACTGCGACCTCTGCCTCCCGGGTTCCAATAATTCTTCTGCCTCAGTCTCCTGAGTAGCTGAGATTACAGGCATGCACCACCACACCCAACTAATTTTATATTTTTAGTAGGGACAAGGTTTCTCCATGTTGGTCAGGCTGGTCTCAAACTCCCGACCTCAGGTGATCTGCCTGCCTCGGCCTCCCAAAGTGCTGGGAATACAGGCATGAGCCATGGCACCCAGCCCCATATTCTTTTTAATTACAGGGATTTGTCACCAAAAAGAGAGGGGCCTTTAAGTCTGAGAAAGCTGCATTCTTTGTTCCACTCAGTGGTGACCTTACTGTAATATTTAGTTCTTCACATACAAAAGGCAAGTCTTTATGCCAGGTTTGTTATAAAAACATCTTGGTTATCCCAGAAAACAACTTACGCATTTAAAGTAGTCAATGCAACCCAGAGATAAAACTTTGTGTGTTGTGAATAATCCTTCAACCATCAGTGGAAAATGTTAGCTCTACTCTTTCCAAGTGGAAAATTGAAACTGCCTTTTTGAGAGTCAGTTTGTCTGCTCCACTGTGAAAAAAAAAATGTTTTAATATAACAGCTTAAACCACCCTATAGTAAAGACAGCAGAATAGAACTATGAAATTCAACCCTCTGGTTATGAGGCTGTTTCATTTATGCTGGAGTAAATTGGCACCAAAGGACAATGAACCAAAATCAAATTTAAGAAGAAGAAAACAGTTCAAAAAGGAATAACCACTGCTGATGCTGGCTTGGAACTCATATAGTATCTTTGGGACTTTGTACAAGAATATTGAGGATCATCACTGCAAAACTTAATACCACTTCTGTGAATTCTTTCTTGAAAATATATCTAAGCTGGACACAGTGGCTCCCGCCTATAATCCCAGCACTTTGGGAGGCTGAGGCGGGTGGATCACTTGAGGCCAGGAGTTTGAGACCAGCCTGGCCAACATGATGAAACCCCATCTCTACTAAAATATACAAAATTAGCTGGGTGTGGTGGTACGCACCTGTAATCCTAGCTACACGGGAGGCTAAGGCAAGAGAATTGCTTGAACCTGGGAGGCAGAAATTATAGTGAGCTGGGATCACACCACTGCACTACAGCCTGGGTGACAAAACAATAAAAAAAAGAAAAGAAAAAGAAAATGCATCTAGAGAGCAAGCCGTACCCCCTTCCCTGATGACTGCAGCAGTGGTCTTGCTTTTGGTAGTTAGAGAGTTGGCCTCTCTGCTCCAGCTTAGCGTTAGAGATTCTTTATCTCATAACTCACAGTAGGAATATCAACAGAACATCCCCAATGTATCATCTAAAGGCAATTTTATTATGGTTTTTGGACAACAGCATCTTTAAGCCTCTTGGGCTCATAAAATCTCTCTTTGAAGCATTTGTGATTTTATCAGTAATCTGATTGATATCTGTTCAGATTACAAAATCCTTTTTCCCCATTTTAAGTGAGATGTAGTCTTTCTTTCCCTTGATAACTTTCCACTGTGCCTTCCTTGCCAACCCCCAACTCTAAAAGCCCCCTTATCCTTGGGAAAGAAAAAAAGCTGTTACTTTGCAAGCTACTATTATAGTTCTTTCTTTGCCTTAATCATGACACTTTTAAAGTCATTAGTTTCTACTCTTCACCTGTATTCTTACCCACCTGTGCTCTCTTCGTGGAAACTGTTTTCTTGAAATTATTCCTCAATGGTCAGATCCAAGGCCCTGTCTTTGTAGTGGTCCTTTCCCACTCCAAGCTTTTGGAAGCATTTGACATGGAACCCTTTCTTCAGTTGGCTTCCATGACACTATTGTCTCCTAATTTTCTTTTTGTTTTTTGAAACGGGATCTTGCTGTGTCACCCAAGCTGGAGTGCAGTGGTGTGATCTTGGCTCAGTGCAATCTCCGTCTCCCAGGTTCAAGTGATTCTCATGCCTCAGCCTCCCAAGTAGCTGAGATTACAGGTGTGTGCCACCATGCCCAGCTAATTTTTGTATTTTTCTTAGAAATGGGATTTTACCATGTTGGCCAGGCTGAACTCGAACTCCTGACCTCAGGCGACCTGCCCACCTCAGCTTCCCAAAAGTGCTAAGATTACAGGTGTGAGCCACCGTGCCCAGCCTATTTTCTCCTGGTTTTCTATGTTTCTAACTTGTTTTTTTTTCCTGATTTTTCCTCAGCGTTTCTATCTCTAAATATGAATATTTCTGTATTCTCTTCCTGTTTTCTCACCTTTGATACTTACTTCTGCTTCCACAGTTTAGTTTCTACTACCTGTCTTTGGATGCATAGTACTTCCCCAAATAGTACTGTTTGTGTATATACTAAGGTGCTTTTACAACTACTGCTTTATTGCATAGTTATTTACGTACATACTTGATTTTAATTTTCTGATTGCCAGCTTATTGAGGGAAGGAAATAAGTTTCTTTCTTTTTTGTTTTGTCTTTCTGTATCCTTATTATACCTAACCTGTTTGCTTTGGGCCTTGTTTGTTGAAATGTGTAATATACATCTTCTTACATCTCTGTTATGTAGTCCCTTCATAGCTTGTCTTCTGTTGCTTAGCACCATCCCTGCTTTTTTTTCTCCCACGACTGTTTAATTTATAGGAGCTGGTAGTTCGTTTCCTCAAGCGAGCATCAAGTAACCTCCAGCATTCACTGAGGATGATATTACCCAGCCGACGACTGGCACTTCTGGAACGCAGAAGAATCCTGGCCAATCAGCTCGGTGACTTTATCCTTATATACAGCAAGGTGAGTCTTTTATCTGTAAGTCTTGGGCTTTAGATTGCCATACACCGTCAGAAACAAACTAGAAGCCTCGGTCCAACTAGGTGGAGGTGCTCTGCTTCGGTTCTGGCATCGCCATCCCTTGTGCATTACTGTTAAGGGAAGAAGGACCCCACATCTTAACCCAGCTGGGTTGAAAAACTGTTTATTATTCCTGAAGGTCCAGTGGCCATAGTTAATTCTTATTTTCCATCAAAAGGTGTATTCCTTTTGAGCACTGAGATGAATTCTAGGCTGTGTGAGTCTTCGTGGTTGTTAGTGTGCCTGTGGACAGTGGCAAATTAACCATTTGAGAACAAATTTGAACTGTGGATTGAATATGATGACATATTCTTTCTTGAGCAAGTTATACTTTCATCTTTTAAATCATTTTATACAGTTACAGAATTTTATATTCAAGCCCAGGAAATATACTATTTAATTAGAATATTTTGCAAAGCATCCTATATCCTGGGATCTCAGAGTGCATTAAGAGTATCATTTTGGATCTGACAAAGGGCTAATATCCAGAATCTACAAAGAACTAAAACAAATTTACAAGAAAAAAACAAGCAACTCCATCAAAAAGTGGGCGAAGTATATGAACAGACACTTTTTTTTTTTGAGATGGAGTTTCGCTCTTGTTACCCAGGCTGGAGAGCAATGGTGCCATCTTGGCTCACCGCAACCTCCGCCTCCTGAGTTCAGTCAATTCTCCTGCCTCAGCCTCCTGAGTAGCTGGGATTACAGGCACGTGCCACCATGCCCAGCTAATTTTTTTGTATTTTGACTAGAGACGGGATTTCACCATGTTGACCAGAATGGTCTCGATCTCTTGACCTCTTGATCCACCTGCCTTAGCCTCCCAAAGTGCTGGGATTACAGGCTTGAGCCACTGCACCTGATCCGAACAGATACTTTTTAAAAGAAAACATTTATTCAGCCAACAAACATATGAAAAAATTCTCATCATCACTGATCACTAGAGAAATGCAAATCCAAACCACATTGAGGAACCATCTCATGCCAGTTAGAATGGTAATCATTAAAAAACCTGGAGACAACAGATGCTGGAGAGGATGTGGAGAAATTGCAAAGCTTTTCTACTGTTGGTGGGAGCGTAAATTAGTTCAACCATTATGGAAGAATGTGTGGTGATTCCTCAAGGATTTAGAAATAGAAATACCATTTCACCCAGGAATCCCATTACTGGGTATATACCTAAAGGATTATATATCGTTCTATTGTAAGGACATGTGCACACGAATGTTCACTGCAGCACTGTTCACAATAGCAAAGACTTGGAACCAACCCAGATGCCCATCATTGGTAGACTGGATAAAGAAAATATGGCACATGTACACAATGGAATACTATGCGGCCATAAAAAAGGATGAGTTCATGTCCTTTGCAGTGACATGGATGAATCTTGAAACCACCATTCTCAGCAAACTGACACAAGAACAGAAACCAAACACAGCATGTTCTCACTCATAAGTGGGTGCTGAACAATGAGAACACATGGACACAGGGAGGGGAACATCACACACTGGGGTCTGTTGAGGGGTGGGGGGCTTGTGGAGGGATAGTAGGGGGTGGGGAGATTGGGGAGAGATTAGGAGAAGTACCTAATGTAGGTGCCGGGGGAATGGATGCAGCAAACCACCATGGAGTATGTATACCTGTGTAACAATCCTACAAGATCTACACATGTATCCCAGAACTTAAAGTATAATAAAATATATATATTTTTTTAAATATTAAAATAAAGAAATATATAATTTGGGAGGTTTGGTCAGTTTGCAGAAGGAAAAGCTGAGGCCTAGGGCTTTTCTAAAGTTGCATGGAATTGTTAGTAGAATATCAATGCACCAAACTTATAGCCAGAATTTACTCCAAATCTGTTGAGAATTATGTTTTGTCTTACATAAGTGAAGGATTTATTCAGTTTGGAAGCTGGTATAAGAGTACCTTCCAAGATCTACCTGTCCTCTCCTAATTGGAACAAAACACTGTGTCTCTGTTGTCATATTGTTAAAGCTACAAGAATGATCATAGATAGTACTAAGCTACTATTTAAAAACTCTTTAATCAGTGGGCTTTGTAAGTAGAAAGTGAAAACATGGGGCCAGGCGCGGTGGCTCACGCCTGTAATCCCAGCACTTTGGGAGGCCGAGGTGGGTGGATCACGAGGTCAAGAGATCGAGACCATCCTGGTCAACATGATGAAACCCCGTCTCTACTAAAAATACAAAAAATTAGCTGGGCATGTTAACGCATGCCTCTAATCCCAGCTACTCAGGAGGCTGAGGCAGGAGAATTGCCTGAACCCAGGAGGCAGAGGTTGTGGTGAGCCAAGATCACGCCATTGCACTCCAGCCTGGGTAAGAAGAGCGAAACTCCATCTCAAAAAAAAAAAAAAGAAAGTAAAAACATGATTAAAACTCACATTCATTCTGCAAGTTGGGAATTTCAAAATGTTTTACAAAATCATGGCCAAAAGTAATATATCAAATTTCTAGGTGGCAAAAGTACATACAAGAATTAAATGTATTTGCTGTAAGGACAGATTAACTCAAAGCTATTGAAACTACATGATGAAGTGCATATTTATTAGGAGTCAGTTTTATCTTGTTTTTCTGTGGGGTTTGGGCACTGGGTAGGAAACAGAACAAATGGCTGAAAAGAAATCAAAGAAGAAACTTGAGGAAGAAGAGGAAGATGGAGTGAATATGGAAATCTTTCAGGAGTTTATCAGACAAGCAAGGTAGAAGACATTCTTGATTAATAAAAACTATCTTATTCTACCTTCCATACTGCTCATTGAATACCCAGCATTCCTTTGTTTCTGACACATGGATGGGAATGAAATCACTCATAAAGCTGTAAACAGTAACACACCCTTTTAGTCCCAGTTACTTGGGAGCCTGAGGCAGGAGGATTGCTTGAATCCAGGAGTTCAAGGCCAGCTCGGGCAACATAGTGAGACCCTGTCTCTAAAGGATGAAAAAAATCATTCTCAGAAGGAGAAAAAATTTTATAGGCATGGCCTCCCCATATCTTAGCCAATTATGTTGCTGATTTCATGGCTTCAGTTATGAGAATGTTACTGCTGGGTATCAGGACTGTAGTTCTAGACAGTACACGTCGAGTGACAAGAGAGCCCTTTGGAAAGTTGAAGTTAGAGGCATCTCTCTTTTTTTTTTTTTTTTTGAGATGGAATCTTGCTCTATCACCAGGCTGGAGTACAGTGGCGCCATCTTGCCTCACTGCAACCTCTGCCTCCTGGGTTCAAGCGATTCTCCTGCCTCAGCCTCCCGGGTAGCTGGGGTTACAGTCATGCGCCACCACACCCAGCTAATTTTTGTATTTTTTAGTAGAGATGGGGTTTCACCATGTTGGCCAGGATGGTTTCAATCTCTTGACCTCGTGATCCGCCTGCCTTGGCCTCCCAAAGTGCTGGGATTACAGGCATGAGTCACTGCGCCCAGCCAAGGCATCTCATATTTACTGGGTGTGAATTTATCCCTGACCTACTCATGGAGTAGAAATTACCACATTTTGCCTACATTGAATAGGTTGAGGAATTTGAATTTCTCAACTCTGTGAGGGTTGCACCTAATTTATATAAAATAGAACAAGTTCTTCATGCTTAGGACTAGCCTTTATGAATGAAAAATCTCAATATTCATCTCTCTATCTTGATAAAAGTCATCTAGGCCATTTTGTCCATTTATGTTGGCTTACAAAGGAAGAGATAACAAAGGCACTTAGTTTTAAATCTTGTAAACCTTACACTGGAAGTGTAAGTTTTTTTTCTAAATAGAGAGATGTGCAAAACCATTAAAATAAAATAGGATAAAGCAACCGTAAGCCCCATTACTTAGGTTTCGACTGTCAAAGTCACAAATAGGGAGACAATCAGTAGAAAATCTACCCTATGTTGATTTGTGAAGTTAAATGAGGTAGGGGGTAGGGGCTTATCAATCACCAGCATACTATGATCTTTGTTTACTACTTTTTATAGACCTCACTATCAAGTGCTTTACAGTAAACAAATATATAATTTTTAGGCGTTCATAATTGTATGATGTTATTTGTTGACATTTTTGAGTCTTAAGTGATATGATTGATAAAACAGGTATAGAAACAGCTTCTCTCATCAATATTATAAAAAGAGAAAAGGAAAAAAAGAAAACAGATTTTGTCCAGAAAATAGCTCTACTTTTTAAAGCTAAAAGATTAATTTCTGGTTTGCCCTAAGGATCTTCAAAATCCCTAAAATATATAGTTAAAAAAAGAAGAAAAAAAACCCCTAACCTTTAAAAAGGCGCTATTTCCCAAGCAAGTCTAACTGGATACCAGAAATGAATTATACATACTCTTATCTAATTATATAGATTTGGAGATAAAATGCTTTGGAACATAATTACTTCTGATTGTGGATTAGGCATTGATTATTGGGAAATATGTGGTAGTGTCGATTCTTTTATTAAGTTTGGTTTGAATACATGGATACTTTTCAGGGCTGGTAAATTCAAATACCTGCAAGAGTCAGGCAGGAAAACATAAATTATGAAGTGGGCAGAGGATAAGACAGACATAAAGCAGCTAGTATTTTGACCAACCATAACCTTTGCCTTTCAGTATTCTGTGAAGGGCCAAAGAAAAAACACTGACAGGCAGAGGTAGCTGCCTGTTTGCAACCTCAGCTGTAGATCTTTGATAGTTACTTGAGAGATTTATCTTGGGCATTTAGCTACTTTGGAGACTTTGGGGTCTATGCTGAGGTTCATAAAGGTGGCTTCTAGGTTCCAGTTAGAGTGTGTTTTCTGAAGATTGGATATAGGTTCTCTGTGATATTATAGGCATGCTTCACTTAATAGCCACTTATCTAGAACGTAACCAAGCTAAAGGAAAAGGCCATTGAGAAGCCACAGATATAAAAGTCCATGCGTGGCATGTTCACTAGAAGAATCCACTAGCCCCTCATCTGTTTTCTTATAGTTTCTGTTTTGTGGCTGTTCATAAAGAGCATATAATTTCAGTAATTTGAAGTGAGTTAGAGATGATCTAGTTTAGTCTCCTGTGTTACATAGATGGTTAGGAAATTCTTCTGTGGTTGTTAGTAGATTTCCTTGTTTCTGACATGGGCAATGAAAATAAGTGACTCTTTAAGTGAAGATACTTCAGTTATCTAGAAGTGAGCTGGACAAACTTTTTTTTTTTTTTTTTTTGGATATCCTTCTTTAAAAATATGTTTTTAATTCTTAGCTGGGGGCCACGAAAACAAGTCACTGTTCAGGTTTAGCCCACAGTGTGAGTCGGTTGCCACCTGTTCTAGAACATGGCTGTCCAATAGAACATTTTGTGGCTGACTGCTGAACCCTTGAAATGTGGCTAGTATAACTATGGGGAAAAATTTTTTTAATTTAATTTGAATTTACATAGTCACGTGATTGACTAGTGGCTACCATATTAGTGCAGATTAGAAAATTTGTTGTGGGATGAATAAAATGAATAAAGCCTTATGCTTTAAATTTTTTAGATTGCTTTCATTTATATTTCATTTTAACCACCTATTAATAGGGAATTTTCAGCTTGCGATTTCATTTTTCCCTTTTCCAGCTTGCTCTGTTTCCATAATAAAATCTGGTGGAAAGATTTTTCAGAATAGCTTCCTGTCTGACCATGCTTTTTCTCCTCATTTCAGTGAGGCTGAACTGGAGGAGGTGTTGACTTTTTATACCCAAAAGAACAAATCTACCAGTGTCTTCCTGGGGACTCACTCTAAAAGTTCTGAGAACAACAGTTATTCTAATAGTGGGGCAAAAGGTGGTAAGTATGATTGTTACTTAATGAAAAATAAGAAGAACAAGTGAAGAAATGAGAAGTGCAAAGGAGAATGAGGAATAATGTGTTGGCTAAGCACTGATAGTCTCCAACGTAGTGAGACTTTGCAACGTGGGGAGTGGGTGGAGCATGGGATAGTACTTTCTGTTCTAAAAGCAGAAGAGGGCCCTGGTCTGATTTTTTTTTTCATGATGATTAACAGCAGAGAGCTTTTCAAGAAAAGCTATTAATAGCTGGTATTTAGTGAACACCGATCTTACTGTCTGCCGGACATGGTCTTATTTTTTACTTTCCAGAACCACGTAGAGTGGGCACTTTTACAAAACCTCTTTACAAATTAGGAAATAAACTAAAAGAGACTGAGTAACTTGCCCAAGCTTATCCTTTATTATGCAGGGAACAAGGAATTTGATCCATAGTCTGCCTGACTCAAAGTTTGTGCTCTTAGTCTACCTTTCTGTCTCTCTTAATGATTATTTCTCACTCTTGTCAATTTTGTTACTTTGTCTATGGTAACATCATTGGCATTCGGAGCAGGATAATTCTTTGTTCCATACCTGGTGTCTAATATACCTGGTTCCAACCCTGTTGTGACATTAGCTTCCCTCAGCCATTGTGATAATCCAGAATGCCCCCATATGTTCCTAAAACTTCTTACTGCTGGGGAATTCCGTGGTTGGGGATTTTGTAATTGAATATGGACATGCTGTCTAGCTCACATTACCAAGATTAAAAAAAAATAGCAGTGACATACTGTTATAAACAAAGCTCTGTGCTTTAAATATGAAATTAACTTAAAACCTAGATGGAAGCCTAAGGCATAGGTAATCAATCTACTGATTTTTTTCAGTGTGCTAAGCACTATATTCAAAGATGGAGATTTCTTCCCTGCTCTTAAGGCTATGATAATCTAATGTGGAAATAGCCAGGAAGATTAGTCATTCAAAATGTGGAATGAATTTTCCCAAAGAAACAGTGTTAATGTTTTAATTTGATTCATAGGCTAATCCACATAAGCCTATTTAACTCACTGTATAATTGAATTATTGTATTACTGGAAGTCCTGAATCTAACCCTTTCCTTTGAGTTTTTCTAACTTCATTCACCTGGTCATTCATTCCTTCTATACTTTTTTTTTTTTTTTTTAACTTAGCGACCTATTACGTGTTAGGCACTTTGCTAGGGATACAATGACCAGGACTGTGATTGTATCCCTAGCAAAGTGCCTAACACGTAATAGGTATAAAGTTTATTGTCTGGTAGATAAAGTCAGGTGAGTGAATATAAGAAGAAAGCTGGCAGAAGCTCTGAAAAGCTCCCATAAGAGTATTGGCTAAGGGAGGCAAAGGAATTCTTTTTTTTTTTTTTTTCTTTTGAGACGGAGTTTCGCTCTTGTTACCCGGGCTGGAGTGCAATGGCACGATCTCGGCTCACTGCAACCTCCGCCTCCTGGGTTCAGGCAATTCTCCTGCCTCAGCCTCCTGAGTAGCTGGGACTACAGGCACGCGCCACCATGCCCAGTTAATTTTTTGTATTTTTAGTAGAGACGGGGTTTCATCCATGTCTCAATCTCTTGACCTCGTGATCCACCCAAAGTGAGCCACCGCGCCTGGCCAGGAATTCTTATAATAAGGTTGGGATAGAGAAAAGTGTGCTAATTCAGGGAGGTGGGGGCCTAGATGGAAGTTCATCTAACATTTCTCCCCTGGCAGTAATGTGGAAGCCATAACAGCATGTAGTGGCAACATCTTTTGTACTGATGGGTCATTCGCAATTCTAGAGTGTGTGTTTTAAGTACTTTACATAAGATCTACACCTGTCTAAATCTATTAAGGATAACTAGGGGGCAGTGGGAAGGCTTAAATCCAGGAAACAACATTATGACCTTTGATAGTATGGTATCTGGACTCATTTCAAACATGAACCAACAAGTGTGTGACAGTGTGACCACTGCTGTTGGCGATGGAGGGGAGAAAATTCATATGTCTTTATTCTTTCACTCTGAAAGATGATCCGTAAAATTGGCCTTTCTTAAGTTTTTGTATGATTCTAGCCCTTGACAAGATTTTGGAATATTTGTATATATGATTAGCTCTGGCTATTCTGTTTCAAAATTCTGTTGTGAAGAAAAAATTAGGTATTAGAGTCAAAATTTTTTAGAATGATACTATTGTTGAATATACCGATCAACCTATCTCCAGTAAAACTGAGAGGTTTAAGATACAGAGCCATCGCAGTATCCAGGCATTATGCCAATGAATAGTGGGACTGCTCTTGCTGTGTCGGGGTAGCTTCACTGCCCCATACGTGTTACTACTACTTCTTGGCTCCAGGAGGTCTGCCAACCAACTTGCTTTCTTAGAACCCTCAGTCTGAATTCCTGGCATAAGCGTCTGATGGCTCTTAATATTTTTTTCTCTGATATATGCCCTAGCTTGTTGGCTGTCCATGAATGGCTGCCCTGGGTTTGGGTACCTTTTTCTGGTTCAGCTAACTATAGCTGGGATTGGGAATAGCTGGGAAACATTTAATTGGTTGCTGACTCCATAGGGCTGTGGGTGTGTTCATCCTTGGAAAAGTGTGGTGAGACATGCCATGTTTTCCACCATTGATTAGAAGTTGTGTTATATTTTTGGAAATAAAATGATTTACAGAATAATGGACTTGCAATTGATTATAAGAGAGTTTTAAGTTCAGGATTTCTTGTTTCAGATCACCCTGAGACAATAATGGAAGAAGTGAAAATAAAGCCGCCTAAGCAGCAACAGACAACAGAAATTCATTCTGATAAATTATCTCGTGAGTGATTTCAAACCTACCTAGATTTGCTGCTCTCTGATAATTCCCTAAAAGACGAAAATAGTCATCAGATATTAAATATTTCTAAAGCATGAAACATTACCCCAAAGAAATTATTTTTCTTTGTTCTTCCTTTTCCCTTAGAATTTTCTCTTACCTATCGATAAACTATTTTCCTTCCAAAGACTTTTTCATTTTCTTAAGTCTAGAAGGGTAAAAAGAAGAGTGAGAGGAATTAGCTGTTGCTAGTGGAGACTTTGTCTTGATGTGCTAACATGTGTGAAACATGCCTGCTCTTTTTCTTAGTGGCTATTCCAACTCTAGCTTTTAGAAATTCCTATTTCTGTTTTCAGGTCATTTCTGATAGGCAAAAATCATTACATTTATGATGAATTAAAGTCTGTGTTTTTCATGATTTCTGTTTCATGCCAAGATGATTGTGATGTTTATGTTTTAAAAATATTTATGTTTTATAGAGGTCGTATGTCCATTTTTCCTAAAATTATGTCGTTTTGTTTTGTTTTTAACAGGATTTACCACTTCAGCAGAAAAAGAGGCTAAATTAGTTTATACTAATTCTTCCTCTACTTTCTCTGGTCCTGCTGCTACTCTACAGAAAATTCCCAACACCTCTGGGAATTCTGACCTCTCTCCAGGGCCTGGCCACCATTCTTCTTTATCTCAAATTCCTTCAGCTATCCCTAGCATGCCTCACCAGCCAACAATTTTACTGAACACAGTCTCTGACAGTGCTTCTCCCTCCCTCCATCCTGGGACACACAACATCCCAAGCCCTGCTGGCCTGCCACGCTGTCGATCAGGAAGTTACACCATTGGCCCCTTTTCCTCTTTCCAAAGTGCTGCACACATCTATAGCCAGAAACTGTCTCGTCCCTCTTCAACAAAGGCAGGTGAGTGAGAGAATGAAAGACAGTCCACAGTGTAAGCTCCTCCCCAGCCCCAATAAAGAAAGAATGTCATCTCTTTTCTTTGCCTTTTTTTTTTGGTAAATGGAAAGGTACACACTCTGCATAGTTCTGATGTGACTAAGAAAGACTCTTGCATTGCATCCAGTAGCATGCATTCATTGATACAAAATGGAACAGGACTTCTTTTAGGTACTGGAGATAAAGAGATGAATCTGACAAGGCTTCTATTCGCTAGGAGCCTACAGCCTAGTCAAGAGACTGCCTATCACAGATACCATTGACCTATAAGTGTGCTATATGCATTTCTGATTCAAATAGTTATTCCCAACATCAGACAAGTTAGTTTTTAAGTCACGAATGACCTGAATAAATAACCAAAGAATTCATAGAATAGGATATGTAATTTTAATTAAAATACACCCATATTATCAGTAAATTTGTCCTCCATTTTTTAGAAACAGCTTTGTTGAGGTATAATTTACATTCCGTCAAATTCACCCTTTTAAAGTCTACAGTTCAGTGGTATTTTTTGTATATTCACAGACTTGTGCAATCAACACCACTGTCTAATTTTAGAATACTTTGATCATCTCCAAAAGAAATTCCATACCTGTTAGCAGTCACTATTTCTTTCTCCCCCAGTCCCTGGCAACCACTGATCTACTTTTTGTTTCTACAGATTTGTCTATTCTGGACATTTTATATAAGTCAAATCATATAATAGGTGGTCTTTTGAGAATGGCTGCTTTCACTTAGCGTAACGTTTTTCAGGTTTATCCACGGTATAGCATGAACTTCATTCCCTTTATGGCTGAATAATGTTCCATTGTATGGGTATACCACAATTTGTTTAGCCATTAATTGTTGGGCATTTGATGTGTTTATTATACCTTTTGGCCATTATGAATAATACTGCTATGAACATTTGTAAGTTTCTGTGTGGACATACGGTTTTATTTCTCTTGAGTATATTGTAGAGTGGAATTGTTGGGTCATATGATAACTTTTGGCATTTCCTCTTTTTGAGGAACTTGTAAACTGTTTTTCAAAGTGGCTGTACCCTTTTACTACCAGCAGTATTTGAGGGTTCCAATTTTTCCACGTCCTTGCCAACTCTATGAGTTGTCTCTGTTTTTGATTTTCACATCCTAATGTGTATGAAATGGTATCTCTTTTTTGTGGTTATGATTTGCATTTCCCTGATGGCTAATGGTGTTGTATATATTTTCATTTGCTCATTGGGTGTTTGTATATTTTCTTTGGAGGAATGTCTGTTTAAATTTTTTGCCATTTAAAAAATTGGTATGTTTTCCTTTTTATTGTTGCATGTCAATGTTCTTTATATACTCTAGATAAAAGCCCTTTGTCAGATATGATTTAGAAATATTTTTTTCCCTATTTGATGGTTATCTTTTGACTTTCTTAAAACACAAAATTTTAGATTTTAATGATGTCCAACTTATCTGGTTTTTTGTTTTCTATTGTCACTTGTGCTTTCAGTATCATATCTGGAAACTATTGTCTAATCCCGTGTCACAGAGACTTCTTTGTATATTTTGTTTTGCTTTTTGAGATGGAGTCTTGCTCTGTGCCCAGGCTGGAGTGCAGTGGCGCAATCTCAGCTCACTGCAACCTCCACCTCCCGGGTCCAAGTGATTCTCTTGGCTCAGCCTCCTGAGAATCTGGGACTACAGGCGCACGCCACCACACCCAGCTAATTTTTGTAGTTTTAGTAGAGACGGGTTTTTACCATGTTGGCCAGGATGGTATCCATCTTTTGACCCTGATTATCTGTCTGCCTCATCCTCTCGGAGTGCTGGGATTACTGGTGTGAGCCACAATGCCCAGCCCCTCCTATGTTTTATAGTTTAGGCTCATATATTTAGGTCATTTGTTCATTCTGAGTTAATTTTTCTGTATGGTATGAAGTAGGAGTCTTAACTTCATTCTTTTGCATGTGAATATTCAGTTATATCAGCATCATTTGTTGAAAAGAGTATTGTTTTCCCATGGGACTGTTTTGGTGCTCTTCTAAAATACTAGTTAATTAAATGTGTAAGGGTTCACTTTTAGGGCCTCAGTTGTATTCCATTGATCTGGGTGTCTGCCCTTATGCCAATATCACGTTGTCCAGATTGCTGCAGCATTTATAGTAAGTTTTGAAATCACCAAGGATGATTGTTCCAACTTCACTCTTCTTTTTCAAGATTGTTTAGGCTGTTCTGGATCCCTTGCATTTTGATATGAATTTTAGGATCAGCTTGTCAATTTCCTCAAGAAAAGGCAGATGGGATTTTGATAGGATTATTATCTGTGGATCAATTTGGGGAGTATCTTAACATCAGTCAAGATTTAAACACTAGTAATAGCTATGTTAAGGTGAGTTGCAGCTAAGACATGTTTTATAAATAGCCAGTCTGTATTTCTTAATACCTGACTTCAAATGAAACAGATATTGTAATATGAATCAGAGATATTAAATGGTCTACTTTAATAAGTGATAAATAAGAGTATGTGCATATGTATATATCTCTGCTCATTCTGGGTGATTATTGTTCTTGTGATTTAATTTTTAAAATCAGTGATAACAATGATCAGTAATATTCTGGTTTGAACTGTTTTTCCCCATGTAAGAAATTCAGTAAGATCAGTGTCTCCAGTGGCTATGTTATCATAAAAACTTTTTCAAAACCCTCCCTTTTGATCCTTTCCAAGAGAAGGGTAGGGACCGAAAGAAGCTGGTCAGTTCATAAATATTTTCTGATACCTGTTGTGATTTCTTTTTGACTCTTGAATTATGTAATTGTTTAATTTTAAGGTAGTTGGGATTCTTTATTTTTCGTAATTGGTTTTTAGCTTATTTCCACTGTGATTAGAGAACATATTCTGAATGGATTAAACAGTAGTAGACAATAGTATATTGACAAAAATATATAATCAACAGCAGCCTGTAATTTATTGGAGTTAAATTTTTCTGTGGTAATTGAATGGTTTTGGAATAGAAGTAAGATATTATTTAACTATAGACTTTTTAAAGTTTAATATACAGCATCAAATTTCAAAGGTCATCACTAAAAATAAAAATATAAATTCTAATCTTATGGGGAGAAGAAAAATGAATTGAGGATAAAAAGCATGTAGAAACTTAGGTTTATGCAAGCAAGAAGCATAGAAAAGGCAAGATAAATAGAAATTTAAAACATTGTAAATCGGTTGGGTGCAGTGGCTTACGCCTGTATCCCAGCGCTTTGGAAGGCCGAGGTGGGCGGATCACATGAGGTCAGGAGTTCAAGACCAGCCTGGCCAACATGGTGAAATCCTGTCTCTACTAAAAATGCAAAAATTAGTGGGGCGTGGTGGCGCGGGCGTATAGTCCCAACTACTCAAGAGGCTGAGGCAAGAGAATCGCTTGAACCTGGGAGGCAGAGATTGCAGTGAGCCAAGAGCTTGCCACTCCACTCCAGCCTAGGCAACAGAGCAAGACTCCATCTCAAAAATCAAAACAAAACAAAAACATATTAAATCAAGTTCAGATATATCAGGAATCAAATAAACATGAATAGGTTAAACTTGCCAAATTTTTAAAGCTTTAAAAAATCCAATTGCATGCCGTTTACCAGAGGCAAACACCTAAGCTTAAGGACACAATGTTTAAAAGCAAAAAGTTGAAGAAAGAAATACCAGATTAGTACCAACCAGAAGACAGTTGGTAGGGTTGCATTAAAATTTGCTAAAATAAACTTGAAGGTATAAAACTTTCTTACAGATAAAGAGTAACTGCATAATGACAAAAAGTTCATTTCAATCAAAAGTTAAAACAGTTCTGTGTCTGTACCGAATAAAATAGCCTCCAAATAGGTAACACAAAAATGGAAACAACCACACGAAGAATCTATAGATCCACTGTCTTCATGGGTGATTTTCACATACTTCTATTAATTATTAATACACTAAACAGATTTTTAAAACGCAGAAAGGATAAAGAGGATTTGAACAAGGTGATAAGTTTATCTATTGATAGTATGTAGGACTGTGCACCCAATAATTAGAGAAACACCTCGAGCATATGATATATTTCTAAAAATCTGTCATATCCTACATCATAAACAAGAGAACAAATTTCAGAGACTTGGTTTCACACAGCCACATTCTTTGTCCACACTGCAGTTAAGTTGAAAGTCAGTAACAAAAAGATATAAAAGAAATTCCTATGTATTTCAAAATTTAAAAGTCAGAAGAAATCCTAATGGATAAATTACAAAGTATTAGAACTGAATGATAATGAGAAGCCTGTATGTCCAAATAAGTAGAGAGCAATGAAAGTCAGTATTTGGAGGGAAATTTACTGCATTAAATAATTATAGTTGGTGTGCACCTACAGTTCCAGCTCCCTGGGAGGCTGAGGTAGGAGGATTGCTTGAGGGAAGAAGTTCAAGACCAGTCTGGGCAACATAGAGAGATCCCGTTTCTAAAAATAAAAATAAATAAATAAATACTTACATTTGAAAAGAAGACAGGTAGAAATTAATGTGCTAAATGTCTGGCTTTAGACATTATAAAAACAGTATCATAAATCTAAATGGAAAAAGAAATAATAAAGATGAGAGCAATAATTACAGATTTCAAAAATAAGGCACAATAGAGTGTAGCAAAGCCAAAAGTGATTTTTTGAAAAGCTTAATAAAATGGACAAACCTCTGGTGGCAACTATCAAGAAAAAAGAGAAAACATGGATAAATAATATAAGGAGTGGAAAAGCAGACATAAAAAATATAAATATACCCAAAATGACAAAAATAATGTAATCTTGTTAACTTTATTCTAATAAAATTGAAAGCTTAGATAAAATGGGCCAAACTCATACAAACTATAACTTATGTAAAATTGACTCAAGTAGATGAAGAAAGTCTGAATAGTCCTCTAAGTATTAAAATAAGTGATACAGTGGTGGAAAGTCATAAAGAAAACATATGGCCTAGATTTATGGGTAAGTTCTAATCTTTCGTGAGGTAGATAATTGCAATGTATTTTTTAAAAACTCTTCTGGAGTGCAGAAAAAGAATTTTTCTCAACTTATTCTGTATGGCTAGTTTCATCTTTATAATAAAACCAGTTAAGGACAGTATTAAAGAGGAAAATTACAGACTGGCTTCACTTACAAGCACAAATGCAAAAATTCGCATCAAAATAAAACCCAATCAAATCTAGCAACATCTAAAAGAGGTAGTACATCATAAGCAAGTTTATTCAAGGATTGTAGGAGGGGTTTAACATTAGCAAACTTATAAATGTCATTTGCCACATTAATATAATAGATTAAAGAAAAAAACATTTTTCATCATGGTACATGGAGAAAAAGAATTTGATAAAATTCTGCACTCATTCATTATGATAATCCTTAGCTCACTAGGAAGAGAGGGAGACTCTGAACCTAAAAAAGCATATCTGCCAAAAACCTACAAGAGCTACCAGCCTAAATGTGGAAATGTTGAAAGCATTCTCTTTAACATTAAGAACAAGTAAGGATGCCCACTAACATTTCTTCTGTCCAATGTTTTACTAGAGATGAGAACCAACATAGTAAGATAAGAAAAAGAAATTGTAAGCATAAGGATCAAAAAAGAAGTAACAAAATTTTGTATTTGCCTATAATATATTGTCAACATAGAAAACAAAATAATTGCATATATATTTTAGAAATAGTTATTTTAGCATAAGATCAATAATTAAAAATTAGTTACTTTCAAAATTACTAGCCAAAAGTTATAGAATACAGTTTTTTTATTTTAATAAAATTAAATAACAAAATTTATCATTTTAACTATTTTAAGTTCAGTGGCATTCAATACACTCACATTGTTGTGCAGCCATCACCACCAATAAAAGTATTTTTTTTAAATATCACTAATAATGGCATAAAAATTATGTCACCTAGGAATACATTTAGAAAAGAAAGGAAGTTTTTTAAGACTGCATTGAAAGACATAGATACTAGACGTTAAAGAAACCTTAAATAAATGGATAAATATACCATGTACCTGCATAGGAAGACTCAATATCATCAGTTTTCATTTTCATCACATCGATCTCTGTATTCACTATAGTTCCAACCAAAATCTCACTAAGTTTGCCATTGAGTTTGGTAAGCCTATTCTAAAATGATAGTACAAAGCCAAGGAGCCAAGAATAGTGACAACCTACTGAAGAAGAAAAATAAGGTGGAGGAGCACCTTATTAATATAAAGGTCTGATACTTAAGACAGTGTGGTATTGGCAAAGTTGTAGACAAATTGACCAGTGGAACAGAATAGAAAGTTAGAAATGATCACGTAGGAAGATGGAACTTTGATTTGTGACAGAGATGGCATTGTAGATCAGAGAAAAAAGAGGGATTTCTCGATAAATGCTTCTGGGGTAATTGGTTATCCCTACAGAGAAAGATGCAATTAGATCCCTGCCTCACACTATGTATAAAATCAATTTCAGATGTAAAACTTCCATAATGAAATAAACTAATAAAGGAGACCATCATTAAGAACTTGTGGTATGGAGCACAAGTAAAAACAAAAGCACAAATCATATAAGTCAAAAAGGAAAAGATAGCCCAATAGAAAAATGATATCAGAAAAGAGGTAACATGTTCCACTCCACATCATTATTAATCAGGTACATGAAGGCTGCAGTGATATTTTATACCATCTTAGGGAAGAATTAAGACACTTGATAATACTAAGTGTTAAAGAGGCTACAGATCAACAGAAATTATTTTTCTTTTTTTTTTAAATTGAGACATGGTCCCACTCTGTCACCCAGGTTGGAGTGTAGTGGTGCAGTCATGGCTCACTGCAGCCTTAACCTCCTGGGGCTCAAGCAATCCTCACACCTCAGCCTCCTGAGTAACTGGGACTATAGACCACACCCAGTTAATTTCTTGTAAAGAAGAGCTCTCACTTTGCTGCCTAGTCTGGTCTCAAACTTCTGTGTTCAAGTGGTCCTCCTGCCTCAGCTTCTCAAAGTGCTGGGATTGCAAGTGTGAGCCACTTGTAATTCCAGCCCAGGAATTTTTTTATTTTGTTTGTTGGAGTATAAAAGTACCACTTTGGTATTATTACATAAACTTGAAAATTTTACATGCTTTGTGACCCAACAATTCCCCTCCTGCGCATATAGAAGAGGAGTTCTTCCATATGTGCACCAACAGATGTGTGCAAGAGTGTTTATGGCTGCATTATTTGTAATAGCAATATGCTTGAAATAACCACAATATCCGTCGATAGGGAAACAGAAACATAATTTGTGATGTATTTACAAAATGGAATGCTAGACAACAAGGAAAATGAATGACTTTCAGCTACATTTAACAAGGATGAATCTTGGGAGAGTAGTGATGAATAGCAAAGCAAATCCCAGGAAATGTCTATAGTAGAATACCATTTTTGTAGATATCAAAAACAGGCAAAAATCTGGTATTTTGTTTGTATATGCATGTACACACAAATATATTTGTTAAAACTATTTAAAAAAAGAATGATAAAGGAAGATTAGGAATGCAGAGGAACAAGCATATAGGTTAGTGCTATTGTTGATAATGTAGTTCCTGGGTTGGGTAGTAAGTTCATAGATGTTCATTACAATATTCTTACAACTATATACAGCTATTATAAGTATTTTATATGTACTGTATAATATAGTAAACATGAAAAAGTTACAAGTTTAGAAAATCAGTTGTATATACAGAATGATCATTGTTATGTTAGCATTAATTTTAAAAAAACAAAGGAAATATGTTATACTATTTCTACTTTTCTGAGTTAAAAAAATTTTTTTGAAGGGATGTGACTTTTGCAATCAGGAAAAATAGAAATTTTTATTTTATTTTTAGAGATAGATTCTCATTTTGTCACACAGGCTGGAGTACAGTGATCATAGCTCACTGTAACCTTGAACTTCTGGGCTTGTCCTCCTGCCTCAGCCTCCCAAGTAGCTGGACTACGAGCATGAGCCACTGGGCTCAGCTGAGTCATGATTTTATATTAAATAATTTCTTTTTTGCCAGAATTTTAGTGGTTAAAAAATAGAATGCTCTGATTTTCCAGTTGAAAGAAGAAAATTTATTTCTAAAAGGGAAATAAGTCATTTGAAAATATAAGATTATTGTTGTTTTCCTCAGTGTACTTGATTTTACTTTTATCCCTTTTTCTTTTTTGAGCTTTTTAAGTATGGTGGATGATTTGACAGTGGATGCCACAGACTGTTGACAAGTACAGTTACATAACAAGAAAAACAAGAATTATAATGAGTTTCAAAGCTATGTTTTATATTCAGTAAGATTAGTAAATTCTAGGATTGTTATTCCCCACTACATGTAATGAAAATCTTTCTTTGTGAAGCTTTAATTATAAGCAAAAACACATTAATAAATAATGCATGTGGCAGTTTGGTAATAGGAAGAGTTTCTAGGTTATGATAAGCATTTATTTTTGTGATCATTTGAAGATAGTTTATTACTCCTATATTATTAAAGATCCCTAGGGTTCAGGAAAGTGTCTGTTGACCTGAGATTTCTGTCATTATTCTAATTTTTTTTCAGGGCTTTTTTCCTAAGTGAGTGAAAACTTCTTTGTTTTAACAGGATCGTGCTATCTAAACAAGCATCATTCAGGAATAACCAAAACACAAAAAGAGGAAGAAGATGCTTCTTTATATAACAAAAGGTACAACCAAAGTATGGTGACAGCTGAACTTCAGCGACTCGCTGAGAAGCAGGCAGCAAGACAGTATTCTCCATCCAGCCACATCAGCCTCCTCACCCAACAGGTACGGATGGTCTGGAGTGCCCAAGAGCTCTTTGGACCTGGGGATAGAATTAATGAACGTACTTTTTCCTTCCCTGTCGTTACTATTCCCATATACTGATGCCTTTTGAATGAGTATTATTAATTGTGGTTTCAGGCTAAAGAACCAAGTTGTTCCTCTTCGGTTTTAAAGAAAATAACTTTCTGTTACAGGCATTGTGAAGTAAGTCAGCTATTAGTTACGATGTACCTATTTCATGGATAAACATAATTGCATGTTCATCTGTAAATACAATTTTAAAGGATCTTTTAAAAATAACTTCTTTTCTTTGGTAAAATTTTCTAGTGAGTTAGTCTTATAAATCTTTTTACCAGAATTTTATAACATTACCCTTAAAATTTTTTTTTCTGTACTGCCTTTTATTTTATGATCTCAGAATGTTTTGTGGGTAACTGATTAATTCATATTTTATTATACCTTTATCCAATACAATATCATTCTCCCCATTTCACAGATGGGGGAACCCAAGGCTGAAAGAAGTGATGTGATCAAGGTCATTCAGCAAGCTGGATGGATAAAAATAAATAACAGGATATTATCCTTATATTATATAGATATTAACAAGCTTGCAACATAAAGAAGGTAGATAGCAGTTTCAAGAGCTTTGTGAATTCTTTGTCCTTCTTTCTGGTTATCCCTATGGTGTTTAATTGAAGGAAAAGCCATATCTCTTTCTTATTCCTTAATGCATAATGGCATCAAAGTCCTCCAAAGGAGTTATCATAATATAACTCCACAGTTACATTTTGCTATGTTGCTAATGTGCTATATTCCTTAATTGGTAGTAACTCTGTAGTGATAATCAAGTCTAGAAAAAAATGAAGCTGAAAATTACTTTAAGTACATGCTAAAAGTAGGCAACACACTGCTCCCTGGTGGTATCCTACTTCTCTGTATAAAATTAGGACCAAAACTAAAGCTAAGCCTCTCATGGACTTAGTTTTACTTCAGCCTCTTCCCAGCGTGTAAAGCAGTAATTATTTTCTTTCTCAAATCCTTAGTTGTTTGAAGGGAGTAAAGAAGAAGGCCTAATGTGAAATAGGAAGCAAAGAATGTTAGAAGAACAGTGCTGATTCTTGAAGGGAGTTGGATGGACTTTAATGATAGAATGATGGGAAGAGGGAATAGCATATCAAGGTACAATGGGAAGAAATTTTCAAATTAAGTGGCTATAAGATGGGAAAGGCCTGTGATCTGCTGCACTTTTATCATTGGGTCACTAACTAGAATATATGTTTTCAGTTTATAAATGGACAGCTAGAAGCACCAAGACATTGAGATTTTGTGATTGTAGTGAAAAACAAAAACCCAGAAACATTGGCAATATTAGTGCTTACCTATTTCTAACTCCTGTCCTTTGCTAGACTGCAAAGCCTACAAAGTGAAAAGATGCTAATCCTGTAGGAATCTAAGGTGACTGTATCCTGACTGGGAAGTCATCCCCTTTCAGTTCATTTTTTTTGTCTGTAAAGAAATCCAGTGCCAGTGAATTAAAAGTCCATTAGACTCTGGTTCGTAGGAATCTGAACTTGCCATTAGATGTCAGTGTTAACTTTTAGAGTCTTGGTAATGGGGTGGTCAGTGCTTGGTACAGTACTGAGGGAAGTGCTGTAGGATGTAATAAGCATGTTGGAGTAATGGAGAAAGAGCTGGATTAGCCATCCAGAGACTTGCCAGTGACTCCTGTGTGATCTTAAGCAGTTCACTTTCTTGTTTTTCTGACACTGATTCCTGCGTGATCTTGGGCAGTTCACGCCACTGTTCTGCCACTGACTAGCCGTGTGATCTTGAGCAGTTCACTCAACTTCTCTTAACCTCAGGGTCTTCAGTGGTTGATGTGGAAAATACTACAGGGTCATGAGGATGGTATTCAAAACCTCTAAATGCAATATATGTAGAAAATACTGTTATTTCAACTATAAAAGGCTTTCAGTAATAAAATGGCTTCTACTTTGGTTAGAAACAAGTTTTTAGATAAAGTGTACTGTTAAGTAGTTTTTCAAATATTATTTTCAAATATTATTGTAGGTACATATATTTATGGGGTACATATGATTTTTTTTTATTTCAGAAGGTTTTTTGGGGAACTGGTAGTGTTTGGTTACATGGGTAAGTTCTTTAGTGGTGATTTGCAAGATTTTGGTGCACCTATCACCCGAGTAGTGTACACTGTACCCAATGTACAGTCTTTTATTCCTCACCCTTCTCCCACCCTTCTCCCCAAGTCCCCAAAGTCCATTATCTCATTCTTATACCTTTGTGTCCTCATAGCTTAGCTCCTACTTATAAGTGAGAATGTATGATGTTTGGTTTTCTGTTCCTGAGTTACTTCACTTAGAGTAATGGTCTCCAACTCCATCCAGGTTGCTGCAAATACCATTATTTTGTTCCTTTTTATGGCTGAGTAGTATTCCATGGTGTATGTATATACACACTACATTTTCTTTATCTGCTCATTGATGCAACTCAGGTTGCAAATTGTGCTGCTATAAATATGCATATGCAAGTATCTTTTTCATATAATGACTTTTTTTCCCTCCAGGTAGATACTCAGTCGTGGGATTACTGGATCAAATGGTAGATCTACCTTTAGTTCTTTAAGGAATCTCCATACTGTTTTCCATAATGGTTGTACTAGTTTACATTCCCACCAACAGTGTAAAAGTGCTCCCTTTTCACCACTTTCATGCCAACATCTATTATTTTTTGATTTTTTAATTATGGCCATGCTTGCAGGAGTAAGGTACATATTGCCGGAATTGTGGTTTTGATTTGCATGTCCCTGATAATTAGTGATGTTGAGCATTTTTTCATATGTTTGTTGGCCATTTGTATATCTTCTTTTGAGAACTGTCTATTCATGTCCTTAGGCTTTTTGAAGGGATTTTTTTTTCTTGCTGACTTGTTTGAGTTCCTTATAGATTCTGGCTGTTAGTCCTTTGTCAGATGCATAGTTTGTGAAGATTTTCTCCCATTTGTGGGTTGCCTGTTTACTCTGCTGATTATTTATTTTGCTGTACAGAAGCTTTTTAGTTTAATTAAATTCCATCTATTTATCTTTATTTTTGTTGCATTTGCTTTTGGGCTCTCGGTCATGTAGTCTTTGCCTAAGCCAATGTCTAGAAGGGTTTTAAGTCTTTCATCTGTCTTGAGTTGATTTTTGTATAAGGCGAGAGATGAGAATCCAGTGTCATTCTTCTACATGTGGCTTGCCAGTTATCCCAGCACCATTTGTTGAATAGGGTATCTTTTCCCCCGGTTATGTTTTTGTTTGCTATGTTGAAGATCAGTTAGCTAGAAGTATCTGGCTTTATTTCTGGGTTCTCTATTCTGTTCTATTGACCTATGTGCCTATTTTTATGCTAATGCCATACTGTTTTGGTGAGAGTATTCTTGTAGTATAGTTTGAATTTGGGTAGTGTGATGCCTCTATATTTGTTCTTTTTCCTTAGTTTTGTTTTGGCTGTGCAGGCTCTTTTTTGGTTCCATATGTATTTCAGGATTTTTTTTTCTAGTTCCATGAAGAATGATAATGTTATTAAATTGCATTGAATTTGTACATTGCTTTTGGCAGTATGGTCATTTTCACAATGTGGATTCTACCCATCCATGAGCATGGGATGTGTGTTCAGTTGTTTGTGTCATCTGTGATTTCTTTCAGCAGTGTTTTGTAGTTTTCCTTGTAGAGGTCTTTCATGTCCTTGGTTAGGTATATTCCTAAGTATTTGATTTTATTTTTATTTTTTGCAGCTGTTGTAAACAGGGTTGAATTCTTGATTTTATTCTCAGCTTGGTGGCTCTTGGTGTATAGCAGTGCTACTGATTCGTGTAATTGATTTCGTATCCTGAAACTTTACTGAATTTATTTATTAGATCTAGGAGCCTTTTGGATGAGTCTTTATGGTTTTCTAAGTATGTGATCATATCATTGGCAAACAGCAACAGTTTGACTTCCTCTTTACTGATTTGAATGCCTTTTATTTCTCTTGTCTGATTGCTTTGGCCTAGGACTTCCAGAACTATGTTGAATAGAAGTGGTAAAGTGGGCATTCTTGTCTCGTCCCAGTTTCCAAGAGGAATACATTCAACTTTTCCTCGTTTGGTATAGTGTTGACAGTGGTTTTGTCATAGATGGCTTTTATTACCTTAAGGTATGTCCATTTTATGCCGATTTTGCTGAGGGTTTTAATCATAAAGGGATGCCGGATTTTGTCAAATGCTTTTTCTCTGTCTATTGAGATGACCTTGTGTTTTGTGTCTTTGATTCTGTTTATGTCATATATCACATTTATTGACTTGCATATGTTAAACCATTCCTGAATCCCTGGTATCAAACCCACTTGATTATGGTAGATTATCTTTTTGATAAGCTGTTGAATTAAGTTAGTGGTAGAAATCGCAATTACTTGTGCACCAACCTAGTAATTTGTTGGGGATATTTGCATCTGTGTTCATCAGAGATACTGGTCTGTAGTTTTCTTGTTAATGTCCTTTCCTGATTTTGATATTAGGAGGATATTAGCTTTATAGAATTATTTAGGGAGGAGTTTCTCTGTCTTTTGAAATAGTTTCAATAGGATTTGTCCTAATTCTTCTTGAATGCCTGATAGAATTCAGCTGTGAATCCATGTGGTCCCAGATTTTTTTGTTGGCAATTTTAAAATTACTATTTCAGTCTTGCTGCTTGTTGTTACCTGAAGTTTCTCTTTCTTCCTTGTTTAATCTAGAAGGGTTGTATATTTTGAGGAATTTATCCATCTCCCCTAGGTTTTCTAGTTTGTGCATGTGAAGCTGTTCATAGTAGCCTTGAGTGATCTTTTGTTTATTTCTGTGGTATTGATTGTACTGTCTCCCATTTCATTTCTAATTGAGCTTATTTGGATCTTCTCTCTTCTTTTCTTGGTTAATCTCATTAATGGTCTATCAATTTTATTTATTTTTTCAAAGAACCAGATTTTGGT